ACAATATATATATATAATAAAGCAAGAAATTTTCTACAATTTAAGCATGCTAATCATCAATTAAGTAGAGTAATTCACAAAAAGGCCCAAAAACATGTGAATTAGAACCCCTACCTCCAAAATTATGAAAACCCCCAATTTCTTCACCTCAAACCCTAGGATTTCGAATTTCCTATGGTGAACGAATTGCTCCTATCAACTTATAGACCTCCCTGTGAGCTTCAATTTGTTGCAAACGGCATTCAAAAATACCAAGAAATGAGAAAGAAATCAGGGATTAAATCCTTGCTTGAAAAGAAAAAGAAAAAGAACCAGAAGGTTGAGAGAGAGAGGGCTTACGGGAGTGAGACGGAATGTGAAGCTAACATGGCCTTTTGGCCATAATTTACATAAGTGGTGGGTCCCACCAATCTAAATAAATAACTTTTTCTTTTATTTTCATTTTCTATATACACCACACAATTATATATATATAACCACGCACCACAAATACACACATATACATATATATAAGTAAATCATAACATTACATTCTCTCTAACTTTAAAAGATTTTGTCCCCAAAATCAAGCCATACCTGAGGGAGGAAACAATGCTGGGTACTTGGAGCGAACCTCCTGTTCAAGCTCCCAAGTAGCCTCCTTAACTCCGTGGTATCTCCAAAGAACTTTCACTATGGGTATCGTCTTGTTCCTCAGCACCTTCTATTGTGTGTCAAGGATCTGAATTAGTCCCTCCTTGTAGGAAACATCATCATCAATGTCCACATCAACCCAACTCAAAATGTGAGATGGATCCAGATCGTACTTCCGTAACATTGATACATGGACGACATTGTGGACTCTGTTCATCTGTGGTGGCAAAACAAGTCTGTAGGCAACCTCTCCTATAAGGTCTAAAATCTCAAACGGTCCAATAAATCGTGGCGATAACTTGCCACTTTTTTCGAATCTCATCAAACCCTTTTCTAGAGAAACCCGAAGAAAAACGTGGTCTCCCACCTCAAAGGATAACGGCCGTCTCCGCTTATCTGCATAGCTCTTCTGTCGACTTTGAGCTGTAAGTAACCTCTGTCTAATCAGCTTAATCTTCTCAGTAGTCTCGAGCACTATGTCGGGTCCAAAGGCGGTGGTCTCGCCTACCTCAGTCCAACAAACTCGAGACCTACATGGTCTGACATACAACGCCTCAAATGGAGCCATCTCAATGCTCGCCTGATAACTGTTGTTATAAGCAAACTCAATAAGCGGAAGGTGATCTTCCCAACTACCACCCAAGTCAAGCACACATACCCGAAGCATATCCTCCAAGATCTGGAAAGTACGCTTCGACTGGCTGTCTGTCTGTGGATGGAATGCCGTACTAAGATGTAACGCTGAACCAAACACTGCTTGAAGTCTTTCCCAGAACTTCGAAGTGAACTTGGCATCCCTATCTGAGACAATGGTTACTGGAACTCCATGCAACCTTACAATCTCCTTCACATAAAGTACACCAAGCTTCTCTGCATCATTCGTTGCCTTAATAGGCAAAAAGTGAGCCGTCTTAGTCAATCTGTCAATGATGACCCATACGGCTTCATTGCCCCTCCGTGACCTTAGAAGACCTGTCACAAAATCCATAGCAATATGTTCCCATTTCCACTGTGCTACAGCTAATGGTTGCAACAAACCAGCCGGTCTCTGATGCTCGGCCTTCACCTGCTGACAGGTAAGGCACTTAGTTACAAATTGAGCAACATATTTCTTCATCCTATTCCACCAATACTGACGTCTCAAATTTTGATACATCTTGGTACCACCTGGATAAACTGCAAAGTAGGAAGTGTAAAACTCCAGTAAGACGTCCTCACAACAAACCGTGGGAACCACTAACAAACCCCTGAATTGTAGACTTCTATCTGTATGCAAGGCCCAATCTTTCACTGTCTCACCACTGGAGATCAAAGCGTGAATGGCATCTAAATCCGGATCCTGTCTCTGTGACTCAATCACTCGTACAACAAGAGTAGGCTGAGCCACAAGACTAAATAAAAATGCTGGCTCACTGTCAACATCGTCATCAAAACAATACAATCCCATTTCTGCCAAATCCTTAAGCATCTTCTATTTTCGGATGGCCAAACTAGCCAAAGTTCCACGAGATTTTCGGCTTTAGGCATCTGCTACCACATTTGCCTTGTCCAGATGATACTGCAAGTTAAAATTGTAGTCTTCCAAGAACTCAACCCACTTCTCTGTCTGTTGTTCAAGTTCTTTTGGAAGAAAAGGTACTTGAGACTTTTATGATTCGAGTACACCTCGAATCTCTCACCATACAAGTAATGTCTCGAACACTTCAAAGCAAATACGACTACCGCTAACTCCAAATCATGAGTAGAGTAGTTAAGCTCGTGAATCTTCAACTGTCGAGACCTATAAGCCACTACTCTACCATCCTGCATTAACATACATTCCAAACCATCACGTGAAGCGTCACAATAAATCACATAACCCAAGCCACGCTCAGGTATCACCAGCACTGGAGCTGTAGTCAATCTTGTCTTCAACTCCTGAAAAGATGCCTCACAGACTTCATTCCACACAAACTTAATTCCTTTCCGGGTCAAACGGGTCATAGGCGCTGGCAAACGGGAGAAATCATTCACAAATCTTCAATAATAACCTGCTAGGCCAAGGAAACTCCGAATCTCAAAAACATTCTTAGGTTGCTCTCAATTCAAAACTGCTTCAACCTTTGATGGATCTACTGACACTCCACCTTTTGAAACAACATGCCCCAAAAATTTCACCTACTGTAGCCAAAACTCACATTTCTCATATTTAGCATACAATCGGTGCTCCCGCAAAATCTGTAAAACAATACTCAAATGGACCTCGTGCTCCTCCCGAGATCGTGAATACACAATAATGTCATCCACAAAAACTACCACAAACTGGTCTAGGTAATCGTGAAAGACACGGTTCATCAAGTTCATGAATGCCGCTGGCGTATTAGTCAAGCCAAAAGGCATAACAAGGAACTAATAGTGTCCATACCATGTATGGAACGCTGTCTTTAGGATATCCTCATCCCTAACCCGTAACTGATAGTAGCTTAACCTTAAGTCAATCTTCGAAAAACAACCCATTCAAGATTAAGCCTGTCGGCGCCTTCTTTTACACGAGCAGGAATATCAATCCTCTCAACTGATCAAACAAATCATCTATCCTTAGCAAATGATACTTATTCTTGATGGTGGCATGATTCAACTTCCGGTATTCAATGCACAACCTCAAAGAACCATCTTTCTTCTTAACAAACAAGACCGGTGCGCCCCACGGTGACACACTCTGTTGGATGAAACCTTTCATTCTCAAATCATCAAGCTGCCTTTTTAACTCTTCCAATTCAATTGGTGCCATATGATATGTTGCAATAAAAATTGGCGCGGTACCTGGCATTAAATCAGTAAAGAACTCCACTTCTCTATGTGGAGGCAACTCTGTCAAATCCTCTGGAAACACATCTAGAAAATCACGAACGACCGTAGGATAATCCTCTTTCACAACATCATCTTCTTCGGCTATAAGGCTAGCTAAGAAGTAATCACCACGACTCCGTCCACGAACTTCATAAAACAATGAAATGTGGGAATCACTCCGATCTCCCATGAAAAAGAAACAGTCTCCCTCGATAGTGCAAACTGTGACTTTACCTAAAAAACAGTCGATCGTGGCACGAAAAGAAGCTAACCAATCCATCCCGAGAATGACATCAAAGCTAGTCATTTCCAGGAGGATAAGATCAAATACAAAAGTCTGTCCGGCTATCACAATGGAACAATCCCGCACAACTCGGTTCAATGACACTGAAACCCCAACTAACGTATCAACACACAATGCCCGATCCATGAAACTGACCTCTAACTCCGATGTAAGTGCAAATGATGATGAAATGAAAGAATAAGATACACCAGAGTCAAACAAAACACGGGCCCAAGAACCAAACACTGAAATATACCTCGGAGAACTGAAGATCCAGGAGATGTATCAGTCGATGCAAGTGCAAAGACACGTCCCTCGGTGCCTGTGCCTATGAATTACTAATCTGAACACCAGATGCTGTGCCGACACAGTAGGAGTATCCCTCCTAGCTGGTCGTGAACCCTGAGAAAACATGACAGGCTGTGGTGGTGGTGGTCTGAAACCTGACTGAACTGTAGCCGACTGCGACGGCCTCTGTCGTGACCCTCTGCCACTACCGGTGCCTGCTCCCTGATTAGGACAATTCTTTACCTTATGCCCTGCTGGCCACAACCAAAACAAACCCCAGAACTAACTGATACCTGTAGACACTCTGACTTATAATGACCCGGTTGATTACAGCGATAACAAATGACACCACTCCTGGCAGACCCTACTGGCATGGAGGTACTAGGAGCGGATCATGCAGACTGCTGCCCCTGAAACTAAGATGAACCACCTATTCCTTTTCCCTAAAGGTCCCTCTGTAGATGGTCCTATATTCATCTTTTGGCTCCACTATTCCTTTCCTGCATTTCTATCTTTGGCCTCCGCCTCAAGCATCAATGTTCTTTCCACTGCCTCAGAATACACCTTAATGCCCTGTGCCGTTAAGAACGGCCTCATTTTGTAATCAATACTAGAAATAAACTTTTGAATCTTATCAATTTCATCTCTTACCAATTCTGGAGCAAAGCGGGAAAAAGAAGTGAACTTGTTCTCATACACTGTCACTGACAAACTACCTTGGATGAGGCCAATAAACTGATTCTTTAACTCCCACCTCTTGGGCGCAGGGAAGTACTTCTCATAGAACAGCTCCTTAAATCTATCCCAACTCATCTCTTCAATCCTATACTGATTTGTGATCGATTTCCACCAAAACTTGGCATCCTTTGTGAACTTATAAGTGGCTAGGATGATTTTCAAGTGATCATCCGTCACATCCATAGAAGTCAATTGAGTTTCAACTTGCTCCATGCAGTCATCCGCTACCATGGGATCTGCACCGCCTTTAAACATCATAGGCATCAACTTAGAAAATCCAGAAATCAACTTGAGACGCTTCTGTGCTGGCGTCTCCTCAACTTGCACTACCGGTTGTGGTATCGACTGCGGTATCGGCTGTGGCTAAGTAGCAATGGTGGCCCTCAAGGCCCTCTGCAACAAGCGATTCAATACTAGTTTCGCCGGACTTTCACCCTCTTCAACGGGTGCTTCCACATTATCCCTCCTTGTAGGAACAACTCTTGGGGCAATCAAATCCTGAAGAAGTGTGTCCTCATCAACTGGCTCCGCCGGAGCTCGTGCTCTCGCCAACATCACCCCTTGTTGGCTTAGGGCCAACTTCCCTTAGTTCTTCACACCGTGACATTGTTATATTAAACAAAGGAAACAGTTCAATAACGATAACACTAAGGTCCAACCGTGAATAACTCAATACAAAAAGGACACTATACTAATACTTAGCATGCAAGACTATGTAATGAACACATTAATATAAGCATATAAGCATATAAGTATGTAGACAAGTAAACAACTAAACAGTTAAGCATATTTTTGCACATAGCAAAACACTTTAACAATTAATCACATAAACTATGCAAACGATTTCCCATGCTAGGGTAGGCCTCTACCCGTCGTCCTATTGGTTTTCGAACCAAGTCTTTGATACCAAATTTATAACGACCTTAAACTGAATACCGAAAATAATAAAAATTTTAAAAAAATTTTGGCATGACCTCCACTAAAAAGGGTCCTACCACAACCTGTTTAAATGCATAAAAATGCATAGGGCCTTTCTTGGACCTTCAAAATTTTTCTAACCTGTCCCAGCACAATACAAATAATACATTTCTTTCAATCATTCATTATATCTCAACATAGTTCAGTTTATGGTGGAACAACTACATGTTATTTAATCCAAATATCATAATTACAGTCCCAAAAATATAATTAAGGTCAAACGTCCATGTCTTACAATGTCCATGACTTCTAATAACATTATAGCCCATGAATATAACTACAATAGCAAAAGTCCATAGGTCTCAGTACAAAATACAATATGCTAAGTTTTACAGAAAATAGTGGGACTTAGATACAAAAATAACAAAAGGTCTTCTAAACCAATTTAAGCCTGTGGTGGAATGTCATCTGCCACTTCTTTTCCGTTTCCTAAAAAAATGTTAAATAATAGGGGTAAGCAAAATTGCTCAGTAAGTAATGCCTAAGGCACACCTCTTAAGACCCCGTGAATCCACATAATGAATAGGAATTAGGAAAATGGGATCATACCATGCCGGGAATAAAAGTATAACTACGATACCATATCATTAATCCAACACCACAAATAAATATGACATGCACTGAAATGTCGTGCCATGCAATGTCACTCCCCATTTTCCCAAAACCATTTCCATTATCATTTCCAAACCGTTAGTGAACCCGTCCCATTGCAACTCCATGGCGGCACGAGAGGAGGATTGGCCACTGTCCCTGACCCATGGCAACTCCATGGCGTCATTTGGGCCCAGGTAACTCAACCACAATAGGGCGGTCTCCCTAGTCCCCTCTAGGCCTCACTAACGCCGCGGTCCCTAGGTAACTCCTAGGCGGCCGGGTTTTTCACAAAAAATCATTTTCAAAATTCTTTCCCAAAATCCATTTCCTTTCTTTCAAAGCAATTTTTGCCCATTCTTTTCCAATGAATGCATATATGTCTTATGCATTTCAATGCCATGTCAAATGAAGGATTTTTACAATTCACAAATCAGCATAAGATTTTCATATTTCACAAATCAACACACTTACATATAGCAATTTCTAGCAAATTAATCATAATAGACATGAAAATTTAATACTTAGACATGTTTTACAACATAAAAAATTTTAAAATTATCTTTCATGCTTTCTAATCACCAATCTAGCACTAAAGGCACAATAAGCTTGAATTAATCAACAATTTACATGCTTCATTATCATATATATCAAGCAACACATAGTCACAACTTTGGCACAATATATATATATATATATATATATATATATATATATATAATAATAATAATAATAATAATAAAGTAAGAAATTTTCTACAATTTAAGCATGCTAATCATCAATTAAGTAGATTAATTCACAAAAAGACCCAAGAACATGTGAATTAGAACCCCTACCACCAAAATTATAAAAACCCCCAATTTCTTCACCTCAAACCCTAGGATTTCGAATTTCCTATGGTGCACCAATCGAGGAATTGCTCCTATCAACTTGTAGACCTCCTTGTGAGCTTCAATTTTCGTCTTTGACTGACGTTGATTTTAACAAAAGGGAGGTCCGTGTAGGATATTTTCAAAAGTAGGGGAGGTCCGCGTAATTTCTGAAACAGGAAGGGTGCTGTCTGTAATTATGGCAAACCATATGGGAGGTCTTTGTAAATTACCCAAAACTTTTTGAGGGATTTTCATGCACAAATCTTGATTCATCACATAAAGAAAAGTTTTATGTAAAAATAAAATATGATGTATCATTCAATTAATAGATTGAATACTTACATCAAAGGTCTGAGTAAACGTTTAAATCTTTCCTCTAAAGTGAATGTTCTCACTTAGTGTAGATCCCTTAGCAAGATCATTTCTCCTTCTTCTTGATGGTAATCTTCCCTTTAGGAATCACTAATATGTCTCGATAAATGACCTTGGAATCAAGGCTTGTGGTAGCCTCCTTTAGAAGATATAGCAAACCCTAAAAACTAGAGAGAGAAAATATATTACTTTTTCTTCTTCTAAAAGTTATCCCTCAAATATACATGGACCTATGTATATATATAGGCAAAATAAAGATAAGAAAGGAAACAATAAATCCTTCTCAATCTCTAATTCAAATATCTCAATTCTAATAGAACTCCAATATCAACTTGGGCTATGAGTGAGAATCCTTTGGGTTTACTATTTTCTTGGCTACTATAAATTAATAATTAGTCTGGTCCATTAAACCATGGACCCAATTTAATTAATTCATAAATTAATTTCTACTCCACTAAAAGAAATTAATTACACTCCAATTAAATAGTAAATAACCTCTAAGTCAATGTTTCACTTTGACCCCTCTATGCATAATTATTTATCGGATAATAAAACCATCAATCCGACAACATAATTAATATAATTATTTTGTTACCTTTGATTATTTCCGACTTGATCACAATAAAATTTTTGTTTGACAAAAATAATAATTTACTAAATAAATATATATAGAAAACATTTTGTCTAAAATATACGAAGGCTTTCGAATTTAATTTATGATCGACCATAATCAATATAAAATAAATACAAGTAGCACTGATGCAAATATTGAGAATATAACCCTCCAACTATTAATTACATAACTACTCAAAATGCCAATCTAAGGATCCCGAAATATCCGCCGAACAAATCAAAGTAATTATTAATTAATAAATGAGTCTATACTTCTCTCATGCTTGAGAGTCAAAAGTCATGGCTGTGATAGAGAGCAATTGCACACGATGGCTCTCGCAATATATCTCAACCTATCATGGACTCGGTTGAAATCTTAATTAATTAAATGTCCATCCATAATTACCGACTTTGAACCATTTATGATTACTAATTTATAACTTAATATTAATTACATACATATATAAATATATCTTGTAATCAAGTGGACACAATCAATTTCATAATAAATCGAAAAAATAATACATTCCATTTACCAATTGTTTAATGCCTTAATAATAATATTCAGATAAGAAACCATAACTTTTACAATACAAATAAGAATTTGCTATACTATGGCACACATATCCTAACAGTTTAGAGAATAATAGTTTGTCATTTGATAGATCTACAAAATAGCTTGGTTTTGGGACGCGATGTTAGGCAGCAATTAGATTTCACTTTCTGTGAAATGAGAGTCTTTGAAAATTTTGAATGCATGAGATATTAGGGTCATAGAAGTAAATGATGCGTAAGACAGTTAAGAAATAATATTTTCACAAACCACAGGACATCAAACTTTTGTGGCTATAGAAAACCTTAAGGCTAAGTTTAGGATAGGGTGTTTGACTTAAAATATTTTTTCAGGCAAGAGTGCCGCACGACCCCTTTTAAGTTTTGCTTTCATTAGGAAAATTATTCCTGTAAATTTTCTTTTTCCTTCTCCTGAGAAACAAAAGATCGGTTAAGCCACTATTATTTATTTATTTTTGAATGTTAAACCATTATTACTACTTTTCAAGTTAGTACAGATCCAATTTTACGCCCGTAATCTATATAAAGTTGTTTTCTTTTCCTCTCTATCAATTAGTATCTTTATGAATGTGCTTGTTTGTTTAAATACAACACAAAATTGCTCTCTCTCTCTTTTAGCTCTCTTGTCTGGTTTTTATATCTCTCTAATCAGTTCATCTTCTCTTCCTGCTATCTCCTATTGGATCTGCAGAATTATTTGTTAAAACTATGCAGAAAACTGTTCAAATCCCATGGAGAAAACCACCTCAATATGTTGTGCTCAAAACGCAAGGTACCATCTTTTTTTTAACTTATGTATGGATTTCTATGCCTCTTTTATATTTTTATTTTTAAATAAATGAAGATATTTTGTTACAAAAATTTAGCACTACTATGGTGTTTCTGTTATCTCACAGTTTTTTAATTATTATTATTTTTTAATCTTTAATTGGAATAGTGAGAAGGATGATAGAGGAGGTTGGTTGTATTTGGAGGATCGCAATAGTGGACTTCCTGATGTTATACTCGTTTCAATCTTGTCACTATTGACAATGAAAGAAGCTGGAAGAAGTAGTCTGCTTTCTAAGAGATGGAGGTACACGTTGACTTACATTACTGCTTTGAACTTTGATGCCTCACATATTATATATGGACTAGAACTGGAAGATAAGAAACTTGAAGTAGAAAGGCCTTTGTATTTGAGTTGGGTTAATCAAGTCTTGAACTCGTACAATGGTCCAAGTACAGATCGATTCAGAGTTCAATTTGATCTCAATGGAACTAGTAGATTTGATCTCGACAACTGGGTTATCGAACAGAGAGTAAAAAGGCTTGATTTAGACTTAATCAATTCAGAGTTCAACTGGTTTAACTTTGCTACTAATCGTTCTAGCATGAGAGCTGTTTGCTTCATTATTACAGTTGATTAACAGTGATTTTTTCGATTGGGCAATGATACTTGGACTCTGCACTATGCTGTTGCATATTATACGTTTTTTTGTAGAACATGAAATGACGATTGTTCTTCAAATGTAGTCTTATACGCTAGAAATGTTTTGAAACGATATCGTATTATGCGAATTTCTCATTCCTTTTGATTTTGCTTTCACCTGCATGCAACTATTATTCTGGACTAGTTGAAGAAGAATTAAAAAAGAAATTATGAGTTTGGTAAATTTTAGTTCAAAATTGAGTAGAGGTAAAGTACACCACCAGCTCTGAAGGTTTGGCATAAAGATGTGCAGATAAAAGTTAGTCCTACTTTGAACAATTACACCCGTCAAATAAAATAAATAAAAACACTCTAACAATGATGAATTGATTTTATTACAATTTGATATAAAATTGACAAATATAATTCATTTAAATACGCTTAATCAAATGATTTTATTACAATTTGATATAAAATTGATAAATATAATTAATTTAAATACCCTTAATCAAATAAGTTTAAATAGGTTATTTAGTAAAACCCATTTGATAAACCCAAATTTTCTATATCCTTACTCTTTTCTTCTCTTTCCCCTCTCTCAGACCTTAATCCAAACAACATATATATATATTGTCTGCGCAGGCACACGTGCATACACACGCACGCCGAAAATGGACCGGCGAAGAGAGACCAGTTCGGTGAGCTTACCCAGCGCCGGAGTACACAAGTCATGTGAAAGAACCACGCGTTGGGCTTAACGGCGACAGCGGCAATGGTTGTTCGGTGAGGGCGGCGGTGAGTGTTTTTGCAACTCGGTTGATTCTCTCCGTCTTCAGTAACGACATCGATGGAGCCCGATCTTGATCTAACCCACGACAGTGCTCAAAATTGGAGCCTGATCTTGACCTAACCCACCACGATCGGCACGATGGCGATCAATGCTTTGTTTTTTTTTTTTTTTTCCTTTCTAATATGCCCTGAAGCAAAACCTGTGATTATTCTTTTTTAATTTTCTACTTTTCTCTAGCAAAACGACTTGGACCGGATTTATGCAGTACACTTAAAATCTAGGATGTCCGTGAGGATGTAAATGAATAATACATTATAAAATGTTGTGATATTTATTAGTCAATTTATTTTTTAATTAATTTAAATATATTGGCGTGAATTCACAAATTGGAAGTTTATTTTTTTATTTTTTAATAGAAAATTTGACAGATTAATTTACAAATTTATACATTTATTTATTAAACGTGAAGGATTGCCCTACATAGCTGAGAATTATTTTATTTGCCTTCATCACGTAACGGTGGACAATCAGGGGTCGCAAATCGCCAAATCGTATTCGCGAGTCATAATCGTGTGTCGACTTACGAGTATTATACTAAACCGTTCAACCTGAACACGATCTATTTAATAATCGTGTCAGAAACTCTCAATACTAACTCAACCTATTTATTAAACGGGTTACACATGTAACCCGTTTAATGACCTATTTATCAAAAAAAAAATTATATTATTTAAATTATTAATAATACTCAATAAAATAATAAATACTAAAAAAATATATAAATTTTAATCAACCAAATTACTAAATAGTTTCTAGTTTACAAAATATTCAATTATAAGATACAAGTCTATATAATAATTTTAGAACTTAAATAAAAATTTATTTATAACATATATAGTCTCATTTCTAAAAATGTGATTTTTATCTCCTCCCCTTAATTTTTATTTTATTCATTTTTTTAACATAATTATCAATTTGTGCTGATTTACTATTTTTTTTCTTTGGGTTTATTCAGAATGGTATCGAGTTTGCTAAATTTCCAGTCTTTGATAAGCTCAAGCAACTGGAGTTGAAAATTTGTGTTACAAGTGAACATCAAAGTCTTCTTGTTTTTGCTCTCCTGATAGAGGCGTGCCCTTTCTTGAATAAATTTGTGTTACAGGTAATAAGTCTCATTTCTAAAAATGTGAGGTTTTTTTCTTTGGAAATTGAATTTTCAATTGGAAACTTTGATTCATTTGGACTTCGGCTTAAAAGATTTCAATTTTCCTAAGTAATTACTTCTTTATTGCTATTACAAATGATAATTTTACCAGTAATGGGAAAAATGCTCTTACAATGTTTAGCTTGCTCTATTCTCCCAATTGATCAAGAATTTTGTTAATGAATATATATCATTATGTTGTTCCCATGTTGATTTAATATTTCTAGCCGAGAGTTTTACATGGTCGTTCTTGCTTTATTCTCATGATTGTTCAATTACGTTAGGACCCTTTTCAAAACAGTGTGAGTCCATCTCTAAAATTATTAAACTTACTTTTTATTTTTTGCTTTCAAAATATTGAAAGTAAAAAAAAATTATTAAACATTATTTTACTTTCTATTTTAGTTCAAGAAATCAAAAGCATGATTTTACTTTTAGAGAAAGTAAAAATAAGAAAGTGAAAGCGTTAGTAAATGGGCCCTAAGTAAATCATTTTCCTCCATTACTCTTTAGGTTAAGTGCAAAAAACTCCCTCTACATGTAGTGCATATCGGACTTTGTGCAGTAAAAAACTCCCCTATACTATCAATTTGGTGCAAATAGGTCACTGTGTGATGTAAAATGATGATAATATCCTCATTTTAGTTGAATAAATTAATAATTATAAATATAGGTCAGGTAAAATGACTCTTTTATCCACTTATCAAAATAATAATAATAATAAAAAAAACTAGGGTTAATTCCACCTACACCCCATGACGTTTGCCAATATTCCACTTACACCCTCTCTACGTTTCATAATTCCACCTACACCCCTTGTCAGTGACGGCCGTCCACTTTACTAACGGATATATATGATTTTACTATATTGCCCATGAATTATATATTAATATTTATAATAAAATGTATTTGAAACTAAAAGGTCTAAACTACCCTTTAATCCTCGTCGTCCTGATGGTGTCTTCGTGTTCATCCTCTTTTTTTGACTCGAGCACTGATCGGTGACACAGATGCCCTTCTTCTCCATCTACATCCACAACTGCTCCGTCAATGGCATCGGCGTGCTCATCGGCAATTGGAGCTTCCATGCGCGATCGACATGCACAGTCCGACTGCCCTCCACGTCGTCGATCAACACCGAACACAACCCAATACCCAAACAAACCCAACCTCACAGCCCTTCATCCTTGCGAACGGCGAACCAAACTGGAAAAGCAGACGATGGAAACTGAAAGATATGGGTTTTGATTTTTTGAACAATCTAAAATGATCTGCCGATATGGGTTTTGATATATGTAATAGGTGAACTTTTGATTCTAGCCGACAGATAGATTAACTGAAATATATGGGTTTTGAACTTCTGATTATTGTAGATTTGTAGTTTGCAGTTGCAGAGAGAGGGCAAGTTCAAAGTTGAGAACAAGAATAGAGATGAAGACAATTGGGGAGGCTGAAATGATTTGCTCTAAAATTTTATATATATATATATATATATATATATATATTGATTCTGATTCTTGTAGATTTTGTAGGTTGCAGTTACAGAGAGAGAGGGCAAGCTTGCGAAGGGCGAAATGGAGACGTTAGATCGGTGGTGGTGGTGATGGTACTGCCGCCACTCCACTGTCACCTTTGATTATTCAATGGTAGTTTTGTAAATCTATGTTGGTCAATGAGGTTGAAGATGTTATTTAAGACATTAAAAGGGCAAAATTAACCTTGCATCAAACTTTTTCTTGATGACATCACCACACGCCGTGAGTTACTTAACGGCAGGGGGCGATTTGTTACCCAAATCAAAACCTCAGGGGAGGTAGCTAGAATTATGAAACGTAAAAGGGGTGTAAGTGGAATATTGGCAAAGGTTAGGAGGTGTAGGTGAAATTAACCCAAAAAACTAATGGCCGGATCCAGCTCCGGCAAATCTCCAATGAACTCGGGTATCGAACCGTGAAGCTGAGAAGGGTCAAGTTCTTCAGATCGGCGAATGACGCTGGTATTTTGCCGTAGAAGACGTTGTTAAACAGATCCATTTATTTCAAGCTCTTCAATTGGTCTAGCTCAGTCGTCAACTGTCCTGACAGTCCATTCACCTGTAGAAATAGTGTATCCAAGTTTTGAAGCTGTCCAAATTCCGGGGGATTGTTACCGGACAATCCACAGTTCACGGCGTCGAATCGAACAAGTCGAGACAAGTTTCCAACAGCCGACGGTAGGCCTTCGATAAAGGCATTGTAGTAGCCGATATACAGCTGTTGAAGCATCGATAAGTTGGCGATTTCCAGAGGAATCACGCCGACAAGTTCATTGCCATTTCTCTGTGTTGTGTTTTAGATATGTCTCTGCTTCAAGATCTCCTCAACCTCGACCTTTCCGACGTCACCGACAAGGTGATTGCTAAATACATATGGTGAGTCTCTCTCTGTTTTGTTCTGTTTTGACTTTCATCTTAATGGGTTTGCTTTCTTTTTACAAGTTAATTTGGCGTTTGTTTGTTAGTTCACCTGCTTTTGTTGTATGTGCAGTGATCTGGGTTTTTGCAGTTTAGATAGTCAATGGATTGGGTCTGCTTTGTTTTTGTTTTTGTTTTTTTGGTCTTCCTGTTGAGTGATCATTATTAATGGGTTTATGAGATCTTGATTCTGTGTTGACTTTTTTGGACCTTTCACGTTTATATTTTCATGTTTGATAGTAATCTATACTATGATACTCTGATTTCATACAGTTTCATCACTCCATGTGTACTATATATGAGTGTTGTTTCAAGCGATTCCGAAATCGAACCAAACAAGAAATAGGTGAGAGTGATTAAGATTTGGAGACGATTACCGGAGCACATGAATGGAGGAAGATTAGGGTTCATACTCATATGCACATGATGGCCGTAGAGTATTCAACTTCTTCCCCTTGTATAGCTTTCCCATTGTTGTAATCTACACCCCAAATGCTTGCACATTGAAACTCCATCTTGTTCTCAGTCAGTGTACCAGTTTTGTCAGAGAATACATGTTTTATTTGTCCCAAGTCTTCATTTATGTTTAAAGCTCTGCACTGGAATCTTGCATTTGAGGCTTCATCGTACACCCGGGCATCCCTGATCATGAAGTAAGCCTGACCAACGCGGACAAGCTCGATAGAAATATACAATGAAATAGGGATCATAATCTGGAACACAATGACTGACATGAGGAAGGTGAAGAATATCTCCATTCCCCATCCATAATACTTGTAATCCTCACCCGCTTCACTTTCAGAGTAGTCCTTTCTCCTGTAAAAGGGCAAGTCATCCAGCTCATCCCTGTGGCGCCTCAACCAAACACCAGCACAAACAGAAACAACTGTACACAAAGCGACAAGAAACATAGAGAGGAGAATGATTTCCCTATTCATACGGGTCTTAAGCCGGCTTCTCTTTGATGGAGCTCCAGAATTGTTGAGCATAGCTTTGGTCTCTCTGCCAGCATACACTGCAACGCCTAGTGCCCAAGCAGTATTCTTGAGTTCACACCCATGGAGAACTATATTGGAAGGTCCTAGAGACACCCGCTTCTCATCGATCTCTATGTTCGCCTGGAACCCATATATGTTTCTATTGGGTTTCTCACACTTTATCAACCCATTAATCTTCTCCTTCTCAGGAATCTTAGAAAGGGTCTCTTGCTTTGCATACCGTGTCTTCAAATTTGATTCTCCATCCAAATTAATGGTCTGGACATAAGCAACCCCAGTTGGGTCGCTGGTAGAAAGCAGCACTATATCACAAAGAAGTGTATCATTTGCAGAAATTTTGATGAGTTCACCAACCTGAATATCTTTCCATTTTTTCTGTTGAAACTGATTATTTACAAAAACTCTAAAAATGGGTGAGGGCAAAATGGAAAATAAAAGGATAAATTGGGGTTTTCAGTTTTACTTTTTATAAAAGAGTTAATTCCACCTATACCCCTTGACGTTTACCTATATTCCACTTACACCTTCTTTAAGTTTCATAATTCCACCTACCTCCCTTCACTATGACAGCCGTTAACCATACTAACGGAATTGTGTAATTTTACAATTTTGCCCATCAATGATAAATAACTAATATTTATAAAAATTTAGAGTTGAATAAAAAAACTAAAAACTTCCTAGACAAATATATACACATTACATGCACATATACAAATATATACACATACAGCAAGCACAGGTGATGCAGTTGCCGTGAGCATGCCATGGACGGACTGAACTTCATGTATAGGTAATTTTAGTCGGATCCATTCGCTGAAGCTCGACACCGATTGGGTCATGTTGGCTCAGAGCTTCTTTACAGACGGAAGAGCGTCGCCGCCGTATAGAAGCTTAGAGAGTAACGGCTTCTGCCTCGCATGACCAAGAGGAATTCATTCGCCGGAGCACCCGCAAGAAGCCGGTCACACCCCAAACGGCCACCGCCGATGATATTAACAGACCCACGGCGCAACAGAGACAGATCTACGGGCGATGAAGCAACTATGCGTACGGCGAGCAGAGAATATTTCCGGCACCAAGTTGTCTAGCACAGACGAAGAACTATCGAAGAACACCATGAACCACAAAATTACTGAAGAAAGTTTTTTGGGGTTTTCTCCTTTTCGAACTAAATATAGAAGGTTGGACAAAAAATCTGTGAAAAACAATGTCAGTTCAATAGTAAAGGATGTTAAATAACAGAGGGTCAAGAAAGATGGACAAGCAAAGCAAAGATTAAGTTCTAGAAATATAAGTAGGGCAAATTTATCTGGGTCTTCTTCGATGGGGTCAAAAGATGCAAATTTAGTCAGAAAAATGTTGAAGCAAGTGGGTAATTTAATTATTTAATAGATAGAAAGAAAATAGAGAAACAAATTTTAAAAAAATTGATGATGCCAGCGGATTACCAGAGCATGCTTTGCTCCGGCATCGATCACTACCGCTTCCCGATGTTCAAATCTGAGGAGCTGATGTCGGCCGCTTCCGCGATATCGGAATCCGCCTCCATCACGCCTCCTGAGATTTAAATAGGCCGCCACGACGAGGACGACAATATGTCTACTGTAATGAAGGGCAAAATCGCTTCTCATCCTTTGTATCTGAAACTTCTTGAAGCTTGGAAGGAAGAAGATGATATATATGAATATATATATATAGAAGTGAAAGGAAGGGCATTTTTGTATACTTGAGTTAACAAATTAAGGACAGTTTTGTAATTGTGTATTGGTGAACAAGGTTAAAGATGTCATTTTAGACATTAGAAAGGCAAAATTGACTTTCTAACAATTTGCTGATGCTGACATTAGCACACACCCAGGGGGTGTAAGTGGAATTAACCTTTTATAAAAAGGTGGTCAGAGGGACTAGTTCTGCACATTTTTTTAATTTTGTGGACTTGCATGCACATTTTCAAAAAGTAGAAACTAGTTTTGCACAAAGTTTATATATCAGGGGGGATTTTTTGCAGTTAACCCAATTGGATGTGACTCTACAAGGATACCAACATTTTCAGGACATACTATTAGCAATGTGATTAAAGTAATTCTCTTCTCAGCAGGTTGACTTCAAATACAGTTTCTTGTTTGCAGTTGAAACAATTAGAGAATTTGAAAGATTGTTCTAGAAGTTAAAACATTCTACAAGATTGTTCATTTTATCACCTTGCCAAGTGCGTTCGCTGACAATGGGGCAATAACCATGATATCAGCCCACTTGCGGAGCAAGTGGACCATTCATCTTCATCTTTGTAAAGAATTACATCCTTAGGAAGTGATAAAGAACCTTCATTGTGACTGCTCTTACTTCTGCCCATTCAGAAAAACAATGACAAATTTTCCGAAATTTTATTGCCGCTACACTTACACTGACAGCAAGTAGAATCAGTCACTTGCATAACCGGCTGAGTTGTGAACTTGTGGGGCATTAAAACAAACACTCGGAATGCATTAAAATTCACCGAACCAACTAAACTAACATCACATCGACCCTAAACTTACGCTCGTCATCAGTGACCAAACACAGTATCAAACACCACTAAGTTGGAAGGCACACACATATGTATGTATGTATTACTTTTAGGGGAAGTTGAATGTACCGGAGATGATGATGGCAGAGATGACAATGGTGAATCTATGTCGGCCCAAAAAACCCCAAGTCGTACACAACATTATTTGTGACACTTGATCTATTTTTGGTATAGACATTGGAAAAGAAAAAACACAAAAAGCATAGTTTGGTTGACACGGGTTATCATTATGTTGACACGAAATAAACTTTTAATAGTATATAAATAAATAAATAAAAGAAGGAAATGATGTTCTTATTCTAACTTTTCTCAATTGTGCCAACCAGAGTGATGAAGTTAGTGAGACATTTCATCAAACAAGTGATAATCCGTTCCATTTCATTTCTCTCTCGATCGATCTCGTTCCCCTTCTCTCAATCAATTTGCGCTAGGATTTCGTAAAACATCTGAGTTTTATTTGTGTGGTTTTATGGGTCACACACATACGAGCTTCGATCTCCCTCTAAGGTTCTTATTGGTATACCAAACGCAAAATTTCTTTTTTAATTTCGATCTCCCTCTAGGGTTCTTATCGTTTCAAAACAATTCTAGCGTATGAGACTACATTTGAAGAACAGTTGTCATTTCATGTCCTACAAAAAAAACGTATAATATGCAACAGCATAGTGCAGAGTCCAAGTATCATCGCCCAATCGAAAAAATCACTGTTAATCAGCTGTAATAATGAAGCAAATATCTCTTATGCTGGAACGATTAGGGCAGATTGTTCCATGGCCTACAACCAAGAGTATTTCATTCAATGGAAGTAGGAAGAAACGAAGTGGCAACTAAATTGTGTATAACAAAAACACCACGCTCAATTTTTCCATTAGCATACAGAAACAAAATAACAAGCATCAAATCAAAACTCAGGACAAGTTAGAATCATGACATTGCTAGACTCAATGGAATAGCCAAAACCAAACGTTCCACATGCTCAATGGATATTGAACGCCATGCTGTTATACATATGACTCAACTAGAACAAAAAATATTCCTTTACGACATTAGTCACCCTGCTTATTGTAACAACCATAAAAAACTATTTTGCCTAAAACATAATATTGAGAGGACATGCAATTTAAAAGACCTTTTTTTGATCCGTACGAAAAAAAAAAAAAAAAAAAACATTTAAGAAATAAATTCAAGAAAAGTTTAAATGCTTAGAAATGACAACAGATGGATAAACCAATCAGTAATAACTAAAGATCCTGAAATTAAATTAAACTTCTGCTACTGCTACTGCTACTGCAGTGCAGGGTACTCCCGGGAAGTAGAAGAAAGGGGATGATTCCTATTGTGTCTTTGGATTGCATTCTTCAGCATTTTTCATCTTCCAATCATTGGATCAAATTTCTGACTGCGGTTTCTTAGTTTGTTTTAGTCTTTAATTGGCTGTGGCTTTCAATTTATTGAAGGATCTATGTTCCTTCTCCCTACTGCATTCTCCATTTCTCCTGTTTTCACAACATTGTTCTCTTACCAATAGAATTACAAGGAAAAAGAAGAGATACCAAAGTTGCCTTGTAACAGACAGCGTACCGTAACACCTTCGTAAGTGTCGATGAACTAATAGATTAGTGAGTTGAGTTCACTCTAAGCTTGTATTGCTCGGGTCTAAATAACACGGAATAAGTCACATCCTCAGTCATTATTTTAAATGGTTTTTTTGCAGAGGCAGCATGTGCCCAGGGGGCCATTCCACCCCCCAGCCCCCCCCCCCCCCCCCCCCCCCCCCCGAGGCACATGCTGCCCCACTAAAATATATATATATTTTTATACACAAACTTGTAAAAATTGACACAATGCTCCCTTTAAAATTAATAAAATGGATTCTCTATCCCTGAATCCACTAAATTTTATTTATTTTATGCATATAATTTCTAGATATTTATAAAACACCCTCATAAAATTTATAAATTATTTCTATAAAATTATCTATTTTTAAAAATGTCTTTAATTCTTTATTCATTTTCTTTCTTATTCTTCAAATTTCTTTTTGTCATCTTCATATCTTTTGCATTCTCTTTCTACAATTAAAACCTATCATTTCTTTCAAAATTCTCTCATATTTTTTTCTTATTTCATTTTCTTCTTAAAATTTAATTTTTATTCTTAAAAATTTCTTTTTCTTGCACTAATGCATAATTTATGTGCAGTAACCTTCTATTTCTTTTTTCTCTTCTTATTCATTTTTTATTTACTTATTCTAATACACTACTGTTGTTACACTATTATATTTTCGGCCTACTTGAAAAAAAATTAATTTATTAGTGCTAATATCCCCCCCCCCGGAACCAAATTCCTGGCTCCGCCCCTGACTATAATGCTGAGCAATCACTCAACAATCTGATTAAAGTAATCATATTCAAATTATACTTATAATAAGAGCAAAGATTCCTCAATACTAGCATGGATGAAAGAAGAAGAAGAAAACACTGTGTTAGAGATGAATTCACACTTTTTTGAAGAGGAATAAGACTTAAACTAACTAAATAAGGTTACAGATTCCAAGAGGTCCTTGTGTCCTACTCCATGAGTTCTTGAGCAATTAATGTACTTGAACAATCATGACAATAAATCAAGAACGTGTAACATATTAAACAACGACATAAAACACTTGGGCATTAAATATTAAATCAATATGGGAACAACAAATATTCATTTACAAAATACCAACATTTTTTCCTATTACTTGTAATATTGTAATTTGTAATAGGCCTAATTAAGAACCAATTACTTGGGAAAACTGAAAGCTTTTAAACCGAAGTCTAAATGAATCAAAATTTCCATTTGAAAATTCAATCACGAAAGCAATAAACCTTACAGTTTAGAAACGCAAGTTGTAAAGTAAGACTTGTTACCTTTAACAGAAATTTAGATAAGAAAGGACATGCCTCTATTAGGGGGGAAAAAATAATAAAGCTTTCATCATCATCTGCACCGATTCTCAACTCCAAATGCTTGAGCATATTAAATACAGGAAATTTATTGAGTCTGAATAACCAAAGAAAAAATAAATCAGCACAGATTGATAATTATGTTAAAAAAGAACAAAATAAAAATGAAGGGAAGGAGATAAAATGAATTTGTTAAACTTACTAACCTCGATGATGGTCACATCCAACGTAAGGCTCTCTAGCTGAGAAAGATGCCTTGAAATCTCCCAAAAATTACAAATTAGATAATTGTAGTAATCACCCCTAATATACCGTTCAATAGGCTCCTTGATGGTCTTAAATGGCAAGCTTATTTTTGGTCCGAAGTACATAAATGACACAAGATTCATGGCAGAAATCTCTATACTTTCCACATTGAAACAATAAGTTATCTCCAAGCACTGCAATTTGAGTGACAGATCAGGAACTTTTAGATTTACAAGACTTTGGGATTTTACCACACACAATTGTTCCAAAAATGGACAGTTAGTTAAGAAGTGCCCAAGAACTTGTCCACTTACATCCACGTATTTCAGAAAGAGATTGGTGAGGGAGTTGAAGCTAGTAAACCCGAGAAATAATGAATGCAGGTGATTTGTAATACAATCCGCGTCAGGAAAATTGTAACTCGTCTTTCCCCAATTTTCTAAGGAGTCAAACTCAAGCCTTTTAACTCTCTTTTCTACCACAAAATTAACCCAATTGTCAATATCAAATTTACAAGTTACATCAAGATCAAATTGAACGTTGAATTCATTTATAGTTGGAGCGTAGTGCGATTTCAAGACTTGATTAACCCAACTCAAATACAAATGCCTTTCTACTTCAGGTTTCTTATCTCCCAGTTCCAGTCCATATATAATATGTGAGGCATCAAAGTTCAAAGCAGCAATATAAGTCCACAAATACCTCCATCTATTTGATAGAAGACTAATTCTTGCAGCTTTTTTCATTGTCAAAAGTGACAAGATCATCCAAACACAGCCCTCCTTTATCAACCTTCTCACTATTCCAATAAAGGAAAAAAAAAATAATAATGAAAATAATTAAGAAGTGTGATAACAAAACACCACATTACTGCTCAATTTTTGTACAGAATTTCTTCATTTAAAAATAAAATAAATAAAGACATACAAATCCATACCTTGCGTTTTTAGCGTCGCATATTGAGGTGGGTTTGGTGGTTTTCTCCATGGTTTTCTGCAGATCCAATAGATAGCAGAATAAGATGAACAGATTAGAGATATCCAAACAGACTTGCTTGATTTGTTCCACGTACGGAAAAAGAGAGCAACTTTACCTATAAAACAACCATCCATGTTCATACTCCGATTTGAATTAGGTTTGTATTTTCGTGTCTTCCTAGGTGGGATTTTATTATTTATTTATTTATTTTTTTTGGAATTCCGTTTTGGCAAGTAGGTTTAAGAAGTTTGAAACAAGAGCCTCCAAACCACTATGTTGTAACAAAATCTGTTCTTTCAATAAGTAAAACATATATAAACATACAAATCTATAAACACGTAAAAAAGATGTAAATTTCTACCTCTAAAAATATTGAGGCAGGTCTCGTGCAGATCCAAAAGAGGTTCCTTTTCTTTTTTCTTTTTAATTCGGTTTTGGTAAGTAGGTTTTAAGAATTATTACAAAGAAAAATAATTATTAAACCGAAGAATACGTGGCCAGCCACGTCATGACTATCTCCCATCAAGGATTATTATCTTTGATGAAGGCAGCATATGATAAATATTTAGAAAGACTTCACTAGAACTGATCTGTTGTTAATAAGTGGCGACCCCGGTTTGAGAATGAATACATGTAGTAAGGGCTAGGAAGTGCTGTTTTGCTTTTGTTAGATATATATGCATATGGAAAATTCTAGTGGATCCTAATGAACTGATCAACTAAGCTTAGACCTATAATCTTAGTATGCAGAACCCTCTCTCTCTCTCTCTCTCTGCCAGATTTCTTTTAAATTTAAGGTCAAGAACATAATATCCTTGTTGCCAAACCTGTTTTGCATTTGACGGTTTGACCTAGTATTGAGTATCTGCTCTATTTGATGCACTACACTAAAATAAGTTGTCTATCCTTTTTATTTATTTTTAATCGGTATGAGCTGTTGCTTGATTCTAGGTTGCCGTACCATTGTTGGTCTGGTGTGGTTTTATTGTGGCAATATTTACCAATTATTTTGCCCCTACTTGTATGAGGTGTCTAATTTTTGCAGCTATATGAAGCCTACTGATACTGTTCCTTTGAAGTGCTTTGTTGACTGCTTTGTTAGAGCATCTCCAATACTAAAACCTATTTTTGCATGCCAAATCTATATTTTGACAGGTGCTACAGTATCAAAATACTACATTTTCTCCAATGGTACATTTCACGCAAAATGCTATTTTTTAACACAACCACTATTCTTTTTCAACTACCATTCCCACCATTCATATTTGCATCAGTAATATTAATATTCGACACATTCCATGTCAAATTGTAGACATTAGAAGGAAACTAAAATTAAACCTAATTAAAAAGAAGTATAAATCTAAAATATCTGGTCAAAAAAGAACCAAAAAAAACAAATTTTTTATAATTTTTTTACCACTATTTGTGAATTAATTTTTTTATATAAGTTTTTTTTTTTCAGAAATTTATATATAATATATATGTATATATATACATATAGAGATGCGAGTGGGTAATGACTGGTGAGAAACGGCACCGTTTTGGGAAATGAGAAACTTGCCAAAAAAATTTGACAGCTGATATATGAGAAGAAATTTGAGAATCTCAAATTTTGAGAGCTCAAATAAGAGTCCATTGGAGAGGCACCTTTTTACCCAACTCTCATATTTTGAGTTTGAGAGGCCCAAATGAGAGACTATTGGAGTTGCTCTTAACTACTTTGTTTTTTTTTATTTTTGAATTTTTAAGCAACTGATATTAATAAATTGGATAATTACAAAGACGGCCAATGACCAAAACAACCCCAAGGAAAGGAAAAGTAGGCCCAAACAAGGAAAGACCCAAACCACGTTTCAATTTAATAACCGCAATTAACGACTAATTAACTGTTAATGGAAGTTGTTAGCGCTCGATCCGGTGAGTCCCTAGCCGTAAATAGAAGTTGTTGACTGCTTTGTTTCCATCACCTTGAGTTGGTTCTATTTGGTCATTTGTTCAGTGTTTCTCTTTTTTCCCTTCAAGTTTACTTTTCAAAAATAGTGAAGTACTCGTATCGAACACAATGTTCGGACATGGGTACGAGATATGCATCCAGAGAACAGATCATCCATTGTTATTTGTTGCACACCCACTGCCTATTGTTCTATTATCTGTTCCACTGATCCATAGCATCAGAGGCTGTTACTATAAAAATAGTGTACTCCTTTAGATATTAGATAGAATCAATTTTTTTATCTTATTTTGTTACTTGTTGAAGCATTATTGTTATTATTATTATTATATATATTTTTTTGGGTGCCTTTTTCATTAAATTTTTAATATTTCACAGGTCACTTTTTCATATATTTGATTCTACTTTAGTGGCTTATCAAAGTAAAACTGTTGCTTTGATTTGATTATACTCAGCCTGAGGTATATCTCTCGGGGCACAATTTGAGTAGAGTAGTACACTAGGACTAAAATTACTATTTCATTTTGACTGACTTGGGAGCTTTTAGTCCAATTTATAGAATTTATTCTCTCTTTTCTTTTTATTTTGATTCAAGACACCTAATATTGACTTAAAAATTGATTTTCAAGAGAGACTCTATAATGACCAAGTTAAATTATTATGGTGACTTTTCCATTGCTAATAATAATATTCTGGGTAAAGTGCAAAGAACCCCCTTAAACTTTACTCTCTCTCCCAAATAACTCCCTGAATTTCAATTTTTAAAAAAAACCACCTAAACTATTCCAATATCTGCAAAAAAAAACACCGGGCAACACTGTTCCGTTAGGTTTTGCTTAAAAATTTGGCACGTGACCTTGCGGTAATTTCAAAATGGCAAGATTACCCTTATTGCTGTTGTAGTATGAAATTAAAAAAAAAAAAACCCTAAAACTAAGGAGAAGTTGAGCAAACATGTGATACCCCTCGATTCTAGAGCCACGGGTGATCAAGTCCGAGCACAGATTCGAGGGATACCAAACAATTAATATGTAAACAAGCAGAAAAAAAACTGAATTAAGAACAAATTAATAATACGCTGAAAGAAATCAAACATAAGAATCCTCAAACTTGAAATAAATAAATTAATATGATTTAAAACCGTACAACTCGGGAATCCACCTACTGGACCCCTAATCCCAAACCTTGAACAAATTTACAGAATTAAAAACCAAATTTAAAATAGAAAGGAAATCCTATGTAACTGGAAGAGTGAGTGTCTGTATCTGCATCAACACGATCCAGCTCTAAGACTGGTACTGTCGAACACCTGAAAAAATAATAGAGTGGGTCAGACCCACATGCAAGTCCTGATCTGCTACGATCCAAACAGTAATCCGATACGCAGATACATCCTAGAAAGACTCAACAATATCTAGAGTAATCCATATATGTATATATAGTACACACTATAGGACGCTCGCTAGTCCAGTAGGTCTGTCTCAGCCTGAATAGAAGGTAACATGCAAATACGCACCCTAAGGTGGGCATGAGTACCTAGACCTACCAGGGAGCAACACCTATGTCCAGTTATCCATCCTAGGCGATATACGCGCCCTAACCATGGTCCTGAGACTCAGGCTCATACCATGGCACATATAATAAATATATAAAGTCCGTACTCCTCCTAATACAGAATATCATCCATCTGTGTAGTGGTCTGACATCTGTATAATAAATCCATCCTGAAACCATAATAAGTCTTTCAATTCACAATTGATATGACACATGTAAGTGATGGACTTAACCTCTATGGTTACTCCATACCTTAATCCAATTTAGATAGGTCTTAGTATTTTGAGCTAAGCCATCCCCAATATGACACCGTCCCATACCGGTTCATATATATACATCCATATAAGTAGGACTTAACCTTTTTATGGTTAATCTAACTCATTCCAATTTAGGTAGGATTTAGTGTTTGAATTAATCTATACCTAGTATGTCACCGTCCCATACCGGTACATACAATCTTCCAGTTAACACAATTGACCATACAATGTTAAGTAGTCATCAACCACACTCCAGAATATGCACAAGATAAATTTAATGCATATACATAAATAATAGGCATTCATTACGGACCTAAAATCTAATTCCAATAATGTAAAGTGCTGGAATAAAGTCAAGCATTCACATACTCCATTATAGTCCACGAATTGATACAGTGAAAAAAATATTTTAAGTATCAAGTTCACCCAAGCTAAGCATAGATAATTGTAGTTATTTCACTATACTTACAACACTATGGTCATATGATTTATTATATATATTCAAAACATATTTAACAACCTTGTTAAGCTCCAATATCAAAAACTAGCAAATCCTCCAACATAGCATAGTTACTACAACACTATATAATCAACTGCCATCCTCCAAACTATGCACCCATATGAATTCATACATACATATCAACATTAGGTATTCACTTCAGAACCTAATTATCGTACTCCAACAATTTAAATAACTAAAATATTTCATAGTATTTGGATTCTACCTACAATGCAAAAACTGATACCTTTTAACAGCCCTTAAGTACCAAATTCATTCCAAACCAATCATAGTTGAATTTACAGATAATTCACTACATTCATTACATGGTGGAAAATAGGATTGAATATAATTAATTCATATACCAACAATTTGCTAAGTTCCGGTAATTAATTTCCTTAGCCAAACAGTGCAACGTTTAGACATTTCTTTAAGCTGTTCCTTACTCCTTTCCTTAATCCACTACTGTACTAAGTGTTTTCAACTTTAACATAAGTCCCTAACATTTAATTACACCTTACAATAGCCTTTAAACAGCTTCTGAAAACACTGTATAGCCCAAACACGCCCCAAAACCTCACAGAAATGCAAAAACTGGACAAGAGCAGGCTCTAGAAAAATGGAGCCGGCTCTTTGGATGATTAAGCCGGCTCTATGGCCCTAAGAGCCGGCTCTAAGGCTGCCAAGAGCCGGCTCCAACATTAGGGAGCCGGCTCTAAGAGTTACAGAGCCGGCTCTGTCCCCTTTTTGAGCATGCTCTCACTCCCTTAGACGCCGTCGACTGTTTCTGTGTTTTCTTCTCCAACTCCGGTGATTAACGGAGCTTCTGTGATGCTTTTAAATCTCTGTTCTAGGTTTAAACTCAGTCCTAGA